TTGCAGATATGTGAATATCTAAATTGCAGAGAAGTAATACATTTACTCATTTGCCTATGGATAAAGATATGTGGATGAAATATTTTATGTTCATTCGATTACATTCATTATGCACACCAGTTGCCAAATTAGGTCATTGCATTGGAAGTACTGCAGGCTAGCAAATATAACTGCAACATTTCCAAATTCCATTCGTACATTGTGTGTAGTGTACCAAATTAATTTTGAATGATGTGTAAACTAAATTCGCTGAATAATTAAACAATTTGATCTTTTCTCAAAATTACCGAATTATTCTATACCATCCATACAATGAGAGCAAATAAAGAGACACACAGAAGTGTTGACAGGTAAAACAGGAATATAATGCTTGCAACATGGCAACGGATAAAGGCATGACAACTGTACCCGGTAAAAAGAAGCCAAACAAGAAAGATCCGCCAAAATGTGAAGGAATATACAAGTCAGTGTTTTAAGTCCAATTACCTCTTCAATTACCTTTGCACGAATATATGCCGATGTGTTCAGGCGATGTCAAGATGACTATTCCGCGTAAAGGAAATGCATGTGTGAGGATGTGTGCATGTCTTGAGCCTTGACAGCCTCTAATGCTGCATACGATTGGAAGGCGAATAAGGCCCCGCCCCGCTCCGACGAAAACTGTCCCAAATCGAAACCTTATGCAGTGTGAATGAATGGTAGACTAATAGTTGCAGCACTCTTGGTACAGAATTTAGTAGAAGTATGACTGAATATAGAAGTAGTGTTACGTTTTTAATTAATGCTCTCATCAAATCCACAACCAAAATACCGAATTCCCATTAAACTGAACCATCGCGAAATGTCATCATGGTGCGTTACGATGATTATTTTCTGAAAATAGCGGGCCGATGATTGCTGAGTCAAGTAAAGCTGGTCAAGTACACTTCGGCAGGAGCCGAACCATCGTTTCCAAAATATCACAATCTCGTTTTCGTTAGAGCCCAGATCTGACTATGTATGTGCCGAGATTCGTGTGCGAAAACGTTCAGGACGTTCCGAACTATACCGCTATAACACGTTTTGGGACGATATCCTTGAATTCGGGTTTGCTACAGTTGAAAAAGTATTCAGATTTTTTTAATTCGGCGAGAAAGTCTAAGTGACACTAATAATCACAATTCTGAAATAAAAAACATACAATACCAAAATATTTTCACACAAAAATACGTCTAACATTGACGAACAAGGTATACGGTGTCCAATATTTGTGCGGCATCTTAACGTCAGATTGTCTAAATTGCAGTATGCTATTTGCATGGACGTATATTTTTTGATAAAATTCGATAACGTTGTTTAATGCTAAACTCGATTTATTATTATTTGGAAGCGTTTTTAAAAAAAAACTGATTGGCACATATACGAACATCTATTTAGCATAATTACCTTCTTGATGCAATTGCATGTGCGAGTATGAGAGAGAGAGTATGCCCGGGATATGCTCAGATTCACTGACTGTTGCCGTTTATGACAGCGCCACTGTCGTGCTTATGTATACAGATAGTATTCACTGATATATTTTTTTCCACGAAACAGCTGCTATATTTTAGCAACGACGTTCGATCGCGGCATATTTATTTTTGTAGGGCAAGCCCAATTTTCTATAGATATTTTACACATGAAACATGTTCAACGCGTGTGACGTCATTAGCTACAGTTCTTGACACTGGTCTAGAAATAGTGCGCGGCCAATGACCTAACGTGTGGTCTATGTTCTTCGTTTTAAAGATTAGAGTGGGGTTTTCTTTTAACAGAAGAACGAAGAATATACATATTATG